CCTTCCAGCCCTAATGTCTATGAAATCTATGAAATTGAAAAATACTGTAAAAAAATGCCCTTGTGGGGGGAAAAAATGCAGGCCAGTTTCTTCACTGTTTTCCTCTAAAGAATAAAGTGGGGAAAATCAAGAATCTGCTGAGCATATACAAGTGGTTTAAAAATATGTAGGAACTGGAATTGCATTATGAGGAAAGTAAAGCACTTACAGTAATTTCTTAGTAGGAAGGCAGCTCAGTTTATGGTAATGTTTGATAAATTGGCTCTTGTGGATCAGCATTTAGACTGCAAGCCTCGTGATTTGTGAAGTGTTGATCTCTGGCTCAGTCCTAATCCGTTTTAATGGCTGTCTCCAGCTAATTGATTAGTTAGATTGTAGCCAGCTGATTAGTTTTGCTGGGGGGGGGAGGGGGAAGGAAGGGTGCCCTTGGGTCATTATCACCAAGTCTCAATGGAGTGTAAAGAGAAGCTGGCAAATTAGAGATTTCTATAAGATACACGATGTCAAAAGTCAGACCTGACTGAATAGATTTTGTATCTATGCATCTTCTAAATCCTGGAGCCAGGTCCAGCTATGCGCATTTTACAGTAGATAACCTAGCTAGAGCAGAAGCAACAGTATGAAAAGATTAAACCTAAATTAAGGCTTGTTGCTATGAAAAGACTGTACGGTTGATATATCCCACATCTAATCATCAACTGTACACTCCACACTCCCTGTACCTCTTTCAAGGTCAACTGCATCTCATACATAATGCAATTGTAATGATTATTTGAGGGAAACCTTCCAGAATCATGCAATGATATCCACATGTGTCAGTCAAGCAGGGAGCTGGGGGGGAATTATTGGTTTGGCTGAGTAGTAAATCCATCTCGCGTACTGCCCAAGAGGGAAATGGCTGTACCGAGTGGAATTTCTCCTTTTGTGACTTCAGCAGTTGCTGGCCTCCTGTTGCCAGCAGAAGTTCACTGTTAGGGCAGGTCCCCCACAAGTGGAATTTGAAAGAAGAGATGTGTTCAAGGCTCCTGTAGCAATGAGACTGGACCACCCATCTCTCTCCCCCAAATTAAAATATTTGGTGGATGAGCCCTTAATGCAGCAGGTAGACTTTAGGGAATATTAGTTCGTAACTCTCTTTCCGCTCCAGATTCTGTCCTGAAAGTAGAATCAAAACCACTTCATTTCCTGCTTCCAGGAGGGTACCCTGATCTCCAGGCTGTAGATAAAGTATGTGAATAGGTGCTGGGGCAGGTACTGGAATTCAGGACTCCTCCCTTTTAAATGAGTGCCTCAATCACAGGGTGGGAGTTGCACTCTCCCTGGTGCATGTCTGGTGTCTCTGGCTAGTGAAATAGTTGATTCTTCCGCACAAGATGAAACTGCTTCGATAGGAAGGAGTCAAGAGTACCCCCACCCTAGAATAGCTAAATAGCCTGGTAGTTAAAGCACTCGCCAGGAAGGGGTTGAATCTCGTTCAGCTGAGGATGAGTGAAACTCAAATCTCCACATCCTGAGTAAGGCTCAGTAGTCAGAGCACTGCTGCATGCCAGGTGGAGGAGCAGCCAGGTCCTGGTGCCACTGCCGGTCATGTTCAGAAAGGAGCAACAGCTACAGTGTCCTGGGCAGAGCCTGAGCAGTTGGGCGTCCTCCAGTATCTCTACAAGATTGAGCCCTCAGGAGACGTAGGTGGAGGATCCTGACTGAGGCATGAGGATGGCATTGTACATGTTGTGGGTTAGGAAGGCAGTAGAGTGGGGGTCTTGGAGCTTGCAATTTTGGACAAATTTACACTAATTTCAGGCAAACTGAGGCCTTTTGTGGATCCAGCCTCAAGTTCATGTTACTTGCCAGTGCTGCTTGTATAAATGGCTTGTCCAAAGGAGGTAGGTTGCTGGCCCTGCTTTGCAGAAAAGCAGCAGTGTAACAACTGGTGGGAATATGGGAGGACGTAATGCCCATAGGTCATTAATTCTTGAAGCTGAATCTGCTGAAGAGATAATGGATGAAACCTGACTCTGTTAAGCTCTCTGCTCCTCTTCTAACAATGCTCAGTTGTTAATTTAGATCTCTCCCATAGGAAGTTACTCCCAGCATTAAAAGACCCCTAGGCATGATCTGGCGAACTTAAAAAATATATATATCCTTTACCCAAACATCATTAAGCCATCACATCCCATTTCTGAATTTCCTTGTCTAACGTTGCTGATTGTAAGGCTGTTGATAGCCATGGTTAAGCTTTTCCTAACTGAACTTTTTCCTCCTGAAGGCTTCATTTGCTGATGCCTTTCACAGTTCATACCCATGGAACTGGGTGATTTTTTTCCCTTGTTCCAGCAGCATCACTGAATGAATTTGGCAGGAGGAGGCTGATTAGAACAGAGAGCCTGAAACTGTAGTTCCTACTTGCATGAATAGTCCTGTGGAGATCAGCAGCCCTAAGTAGGGTAGGGCTACACATGATATTTATCACTGTAAACACCAGTGATGGGTCTGAAAATATAGGAACCAGTTTTCAGTCATACTGCTCTTTGGAAATTCGATTGCAGTATTATTTTTCTCAATTTTTTTCCATGTTTGATTGAAAATACCATTATCAAATGCACCAAAGTCATTTAGGTTCTGGATTTCCTTGATCATCAGTAAGACTTACAGGCATTTTGGGAAAAATGGGCTTGATCTTAAGTCACTTAGCCACTTTGGCAAAGCATTACCTTCAAAGTATAGTTTAAAGCCCTGTTTTATTTTCATGGTGTTCCTCCATGCATCCTTTTTATTGTTAAGTCCCAGCTCCATGGGAAGATCATGAAAAGCAGAACTTTACCAAACTGGTGGCCACTTGAAAATTGGTTCTTGTCCATTGGAGAGAAAATGAGAGTAGACACTGGGTTTCCAGTCCCACTAATAAAGCAACTAGAATTGTGATCAAATGGGGAAAATGCCGCCTCTGTTGAAACCAGCTGTTGCCATCACTTTGTTTGAATCACTGTTGCCATCTTGCACGTGGCATGTTTTCTTCTCTCATTTGGAGAGCGTGGGCATTATTTATCCCTCTTGGTTCCTCAGCAACAGAATTGGGGTGACTCATCAGTAACATGTGAACTTCAGCTACAAATGACTGAGGTCTGTTAAATTATGGGTGCAAATTAATTTTCCCAACTCACCACCCATTGTGTGTAGGGGGCAGATCAACACTTAGGAAAGAGTTTCTGCTAAAAATAAGTAACATATTAATTATTCTTCTGCAAGAATTGAGATTTAAATTTGAGGTGAAGGTTCAATGCATGCTATTCCAGTATTAATAAACACTGTACTTTCTGAAAAAAATACTGACATTGTATAATACCTTCTTTCATTTTCTCTCCAACTATTTTCCTTTAGAATGTATCTTGGTTAGATGAGAAGGAGAAAGAGGTTGTAAGTGCCCTGCGCTATTTTAAGACGATAGTGGATAAAATGGCAATCGACAAGAAAGTGCTGGAGATGCTGCCAGGCTCAGCAAGTAAAGTGTTGGAGGCCATCTTGCCCCTGGTACAGATGGATCAGCGAATTCAGAAAAGGTAAGCTGCTCTTCGGGGGGGGGGAGATGCAGTCACCAGACAATTTGCATCTAGTTGTTTTGGAAAAATTGTGCTGCAGAAGTTGCATGAACTGCTGCAATTGCTAATTGTTAGTAAAAACTGTTTCCCATTTACCTGGCAGTTCATGGACATGAATCTAAAGGCAAGTTCCTTGGTGCAAAGGGATAGCACCCTAATGTAAGACGAGGAAAATATTGGATGGCAGGTCAGGAAGGGGGGGAACCAGAGAAAGGTTGTGGGTGAGAAGGAAGGACTGAAATGGGAAAGGGCAGGAAAATGAGTTACAGTTAACACTCAGTGAGTGAGTCTCCATCAGATACTCTGCTTATACTTCAGCTAACAGCAGTAAGCCCAAGCAGACAATATTTGGATACAAGAGAGGTCATCTTCCAAATAATAACTTTGTGTGAAATTCGTCCACGGGAATATCGGAGAAGTCTTCAGCCTGCCTGGAATTTGCTCCTTTGATTTTGTTGGGCCAAATACAGAAATTATGTAAACAGATGCGATTCCATTGACTTTGGAAGAATATTGCTGAATTTGTCTCAAAACGCATACCTTTTTGAGTGGATTCTTTTTGGCTCTACTCTGACTCCTAGTGCATGAATCCTTGATGGTGAATTTGAGGCTGCCCAGGAGAGAGTTGGCGAGCTGGCAAGGCCACCAGCTCACCGTGGGTTATGATAACTCTTCCAACTATGGGCCAGAAACCTGCATGCTGGATTACCCCTTTCATGATTTCTGGAGCAGTTGCTTAAAAAAACCCAAACAAAGCAAATCACTTAAATCACATGCTGTGAGCAAAAAGAATCGGAATAGACTGGAAAACGCAGGTGCGCGAATCCTGAAATGTTGCCAGGGTTTGTGCTGTTCTTTTGAGTTTCCCCTGCTGAACAGTCCTGACTACAGCTACGTTTTGACACAGGATGCCTCTTGGTCTTGTTTTGTGAGCAGCATTGGAAATTTCCTCTGCTGAACTGTTGCTGCTGTTACAGGAGACACCTCGGGCCAAAGCACTCTTTTCCCCCTGGTCTGATTTGGATAAATTGAGCATAAGAAGTGATTTGTTAAAAAAAAATGTGGCCAATCAGCATGACACAGACCTTTTCTTTTTGCCTATAGGGGGTAGGCTAGGCTCAGAGCTTGACAATACAGTGGGTGGAGAGAATATTGGTACGGGCTAGAAGTGTACTTGGGGTGGGAGAGCACTGTTTATGGGTTACATCCATAGAGCTATGAAGAACAGAGGCTGTTAAATTGAAATAATGGTAGTATCTCTGGATTGAGACCCAAGAGTTTCCTTGGGCGCTCTCAGGTTTCCCCCAGCCAGTGAACCGCTGACTAGCACCTGCCTTTATGTACAGAAAAAGAATTAAAGAAATTCTCCTAACTGTTACCAGGTGAGCATGTAAAATGTCAGCAAGCATCTTAAGGATAGACAACCTCATCATTGCCTTGCTGACTCATTCATGTCTTCTCGGGGCATTTGTTGGATGAGTGTCTTTTAAAAAGGGAGGTTGAAAAGTAGCATACACCCAGGAACAAAAATATCCTGTAACCTGTCCTCAAGCAGAAGAGGGTTAGAAGATTTTACTCTTTAAGCTATGTACAAACTTTTTTCTGACAGTTAAATAAGGAGATAAGGACACTGGATGTCAGAATTTAAACAGGAAATTTAGTCTTCCCTGGTTGGCATGGAGTATACTCTAGTGTTGTTCATTGAACAATGATGACCTTCCGTAGACAAAATCTGTTAGGACATGAATCCCATATGCATGTTTGAGCAAGTATAGCCCCATTCAGTGAGCGGGGATTTGGCAGACTCATTAAGCAGTGTCCTTTCATAGCATACCTATGTACCTTATTCCTTTCAAGTGGTGGCAAGGCACAGAGGGAGATTTGATGTTAAATCCCTCTCAAGAAAAATGGGCAAGTCTGGGATGGCATGGAAGAAAGCCAGGCAATTGTTGCTGAAATTCCTTTCTGCTTTCAGGGGAGCATTTGCACTGAGGACCAAAAAAAAAAAAAGAGTAATTACATCGAGTACAAAAAGTGGGCTTTTCAATTATGCCTACTTAAAAGGAAGCAGATCGAAGGCTAATGGTAAAGAAATCAAAACCATGGAAAGCATCAGGGGAGGCACTGTTTAGGAAATATCTGCTCTCAAGCTAACTTCACGTAAAATTAGAGGGGATGCTGACAAGCACCATAGTGCTGAAAAAAATGTGCTCTCCCTTGTTTGAAGTCCTGCCTTTGAAGCCTGAAATTACTTGGTTATTCAAGTGGGGCCAGATTCTGCCAACTTCATTCTCTCAGGCAAACTCATTGAAATCAGTGGGCCTGGTTCCCCTCTTGTTGAGCCCCCGCTGTGATGAATGCGCTGGAGTTAAAGCAGTGCACAACAGATCCAGGAGGCGACTCAGACCTTTGGGGGAATCCTTGCGTCAGTGAGAAGCGCGGGAGTATTGTTCTCTTGTGGCCCAGCGGTGTTTGGAAAGCTATTCTCTGATTTCTCAGGAAGCTTGAAATTAGCATGGCTTTAAAAGACTGTTATGGGAGCATCGCCGTTACCGTTACTGTCAACATACCTTATTAGTTAACGAAATGAATGTTTTCAGAGCAGGTGAGACCAAGGCTGAAAGCAGTTGTGCTACAGTTTACTTTTAGCTAGTGTTTTCATCCTCCCTCAAAGCATGTGGTTCTTCAGAAGAGTCATGTCAGTTCTGTTTCTTATTTAAAGAGCAAATTGGATGCTTATCTTGCTGGGATCCTATGACCCCAGCTGACTTCCTGCCCTTTGGGCGGGGGGGCTGGACTTGATGATCTTCCGAGGTCCCTTCCAGCCCTAATGTCTATGAAGTCTATGAAAAAACAAAACCAAACCCCCAAAACCTGAAATGTATTGTAGTAATCCAGACGTTCAAAAGAAAATTGTTGGGCTCTTGCAGTGTTGAAGAAAAATGTTAGTAAGGGGTTGGATTTTAGTCAAATGAATTCAGGGGTTACAGACACTGAGAAAATGATTTTCAAAATTATCAAAATGTTTCTTCTTACTCTTATTTCATCTGCTACTGGAGGAATCAGCAGAGCATCTACAACAGAAGAGAAACCTGTGTCTCAAATAAATGCAAATTCCTAAAGACAGAGTTAATGAGGACAATTTAAATTTATTGTAATTTTGTTTCTTAAGGGAATTTTTCCAGAATTTCATTGTCTTTTCTCTTGCACTTCTTTTTTCCCCCTCCTCTAGTTCTGCTATCTCTTCCTGCTATAGCCGTGTCTACCAGAGTCTGGCCAATCTGATTCGTTGGTCTGATCAGGTAATGCTGGAAGGTGTGAACTCGGAGGACAAAGAGGTGGTGACCACAGTTAAAGATGTCATAAAAGCTGTTCTGGATGGAGTCAAGGTACATAAAATGGATTGCCAAATTTTACAAAATATAAAATATCCATCCTTTAAAATAGATGTTTGAACATGTTGGCTTTTAGGAGCGCACAGACTCTAAAGATCCTGTTCTTGAAGTGAATAAAATCGCATCTCTTAAATCTGCTTTAGTTCAATTGAGATGACCCTGTCTGATGTGTTTCTTTAGAAGCCCAACACATGCTTTTAAAATGCATACCCTGGCAGCCTGATGCAGTGGCAGAAACATTAAGTCTTTATTGAGCATTATATTAAATGTTCAAAGGGTCTTCATCATGCTGAATGTAGATTACAGGTTAGAGTTTGCATATTTTCTGTCTAGACAATGTTTAATGGAAATGTTTCCTGGTAATGTGGAGGAAGAATCAAAGATTGCCAACCTCAGCATTTATCAATAGCATGGTTCTGAGATTCCCAGTTACGCTGGGACTTGTTACTGGTGATGGGGTAATGTCAATTGTTTTGGAGGTTTGGTTTGTATAAGTGTTTTTCAGTCTCAGTGGTCCATCTGTATCCTCTATGTGACCTCTTTGGAGCACTCCCTGCTATCTATCCCTGCCTGGAAAAGCTGCTGGCATTCTTCCCACCTCCCAAGAAGTTTTTTGGCATCCATGTTTCTCACCATTCTCCAGGCTTTTCCCTGTCTTTGCTAATGGTTGCAGGGCCTAGCTGCTCTCTTTCTGCTGAAGAAAGGGAGGATTAAGTGTCTTACATATACTAACTGAATCAAACCACTAAGGATTGTTTTGAAACTAGGACTGAAATACATTTGGGGGCGTTATTTGCATTCATCACCCTTTCTTCTTGCTCATAGTATAGCAGATACAGCCGTCCTTTTCTGTACTCAAAACTGGCTGTGATTTTATTGCCTAGAACTCCCCATTAAAGCAGAACACATTTCCTTAATTTTGGCCTTTCCTTTTTTTCCGATGTATTTGTTGGCCACTGTCATACTCTGAGTCTCCATCTTGGGCCGCTGATAGACGTTCAGTTAAAGGTGCAAAGGGATCTGGTCTGCAGTCCTTACAGTCGTACCTCCTGCCATGTCAGACACTCCTCATCTGATTGGGGATCAAATCTTAATCGCACTCTTGCTGGTGCAAGACTGGGTCTTGATCCTGTATTCCCCCTACGTCAGAACACAGCAAGCCAGGTGTCTGGTGTATAACATCTACCAGGGGCCTTCAATATTCATTCACCTGAATTATTAAATGCTGTTGTTGTTTTTCAAGGGCTTTAAACTTGTTTAGAATAAAATGTTCTCATCATCCAGAGAAGTTATTTTCCAGGATTACGCTGCACGATATGCTTCTTAATCATACACTGCCAATATAAGCTATGAAAGTGATATTTAAGTGTCAGATGGGATGGGGGAGAAGTTTGGGGGGGGGGGGTTAGAACTACTGATGCAGAGCCTTACCTGGTGGAAAAGGCAATACTTCCTTGAATTCAGTGGTGTTCTGGCATTGTGCACCACCCCAGGGGACCTACCTTGTAGTGTCCAAACTGCCAAGCATGTAGGGGAGACATTGGAACCCTGCAGCTTAATAAAGTTATACAGACCTGTGCAAACTTGTACAAGTATATGGGTGAAAAAATGACACAGCAACTTGGAAGCCTCATGCCTGTTACGTAAACATACCTAGGATCCTGTCATTACTGCACAAAGACTGATTAGACTTGTGTGCAGGTCCATTGCAGAGAGAGACTGACTTGGTCACATACCTGATGTCAGTGCCCTTGGCTGGGAATCCAGCTGGGAGGCTTAAGGAGGCAGTATTTAGAAGTGATGTGAAAGCATCCCTTGTTGTGTTAGCAAGTGCCTAGGTACTTTAGAAGGGCCAAGCAGGAACTAAGAAATGGGTTACTTCTCTACTGCTGGATCCTTTAATTTTATCATTAGCAAATGATGCAAAATCCACTTCCCCATTTCGGCGCTCACTTCCCTCTTCGCTTTCAGAATTTTGCAGGCCGTCACCAGTTCCATTCTCTTATCTGCTATGTTAATACCAGGTTTTACCATCCCTATGGTTTTTTATAGCAAGAAAAATTCCCTTTTATAATAATAGAATATTAAAAAAACCTCACCATCTTGCTTTGGACTTTCCATTTAGTTAAAGTAGCTTCAGTTCAGAGAGAGGTTTTAATTATCTGCAATTACTGCTGTAGAATCCTCTTCAATGTGCTAAGGAGAAATATACTGTGCTTCTGGCCCAGTTATTTTACTGATAATCTTCTGTGTTGTGAAGTAAATCCACAAGTTTCATTCTTGGACGTGGCTTTTTGGTCCAAGGTTAATATAGATGGAAGTAATGGGATGGGAAATCTGCTGGTGTTCTGTTCTAATGCTTGTCAAAAGTGGGATCAGCTCAGATTTCAAGGAGGCCCTTTCAAGGTGGTTTTCAAGGGGGGTGTATGTATGACATGGTGGCAGCATATGCCAGCAGGGACCATCCAGAGCACGCCCTACTCCTGGTCACATACTGTAAGCTGGAAATATGCCAGTGAGGCAGCTCCAGGGTTGGTGGCCATGCTTAGGCACACTAGAGTCCAATCTCACTACGGCGTTTCTGAGTTCAGTGTATACGAGTGGGAAGGCAGGACGGGCTTGGGAGCGTCCCTGTTGGGACATGCTGCTACTATGGTATCCCCTTAATGGGTGGCTTGCTTTCTGTAGTATGAGGTGGGAACTAGTAGGGAGATGAGGATGGGTTCACTGGGATCTAGAGGAGCTGGGAGATTGATGGTCTATTCTCCAGTGTCATCATCTGATCACACTTGCTCCAGGTCAAGATCTGCTATGAAAAAGGTAGAAGGCAACTGCAAAGCTAAACAGAAGGTGGAGTTAATTTTAGGTTTCTTTTCCTCTGGTGTATACTGCGTGGGTATGTACATTAGCTTTGACTAGTATGTTCCTAATTTTTTTTCCCTTTTGTGAGTTCTCCTTGTACTCCAGCTTCATTGCATATGTCCAAGAATGTGCTACCAGATACCAGGGCATGGGGGTGAAGCAGTTAAAAGGTTAGTTAAAACTACTTCCTGCCACAGTTAGCAGGAGAGGAGAGGGCATTCAGCAGAGAAATCTGAGGTTAGCTCAGTGTTCATGTTGGCTTTGCACTTTCTCTGAAAAAGAAGGACCTGGTTTTTATGGCTTTGGTACTGTATTTCCAACGTACATCAGCACCATAGACTTCATATATACAGTCACAAGTCCTGCCACTCTGTTGTTACCCCATTCAATTACTGACACTTTGAAAAGTGGTCTGCCTAGCATGAGGGCTGCAGCATGCTAGAAAAGAGGTTAACGGTGGCCAGAGCATTTCCCTTAATCCCAGACTTTATCTTTTATCCTTGTCCAGCAAGTCAAGCCCTCCTCACAGAAGTCTTTGCTTCCCTCAAGGGCTCTTCTGTCTACACAGGAGAGGAGTAAGTCCATAACCCTAGCCATGTCACTCATGCCCTATCTGCTTCTATAGCCTGTTTCATGTAGCATGTATGGGATTTCCCAGGATAACCTCACTGCCTCTTTTTCTCTGTTATTAACAGATGTCTAGTCTTACACAGGGTAAGCCATTTCTTGAGCAGGAGCTGGGCCAAACACAAATATAACTGCCAAAGGCAAGGCAGCCTTGTGCTGGGCACATTGTCTTGGTGAAATGGGCAACAGGTCTACACACACCACCATGTATGCTGCCCTCTTTCCTGTTGCTGTCCCGTGGCCTTTGTTTTCCTTCGGAAGTCTAGCTTTTGTGCTCATTAGGAAGGTCTCTTCTGCAGTCAGATGATGATGATGATATTCTGATCATGATTAGTTATGTCTAATGAAACTCTGACATCTGTTTCCTAACTCGGCAGATTTGGATGTGAAGACAGCTGAATGGCAATGAATGCTTACACTGAATTTCAGATTGTTTAAAAAAAAAAAAAAAAAGGTAGTCCTTTGAAGCTTCCCTTGGAATAAAACTCAGGGGAGTCATTGTGATCTGCCAACACTGCTTGTTATCCAGTTTGATTGTAATGAGGTGCATGTTGATAGCTTTGAGGAATGGATCTGTTTGCCTCCCTGAAACATCCATACAATGTTCTCTATGCTCTTATGGCATTGTGTGAACATGAGTGATTGTTGTTTGGACTGCTGGCAGACTTAAAGTCAAGGATTATCATGCCTTTATCTCTTTATCCACAGTCTTATCTGCTTCAGCCAGACAGACAGTACAGTAGTACTTTAAATGTTTCTAAGAGTTCCAAAACTAGTATTTAAGGGATGCCCTGGAGGCAGGCCTTGTAACAAATGCCCTCAAATTTAACTCAAGGTGGAAGGCAACCTTGTAGAAAACCTAAATCATATTTTTGCACGTATTTAAATAATTATAGATGCTAACATAGGTCTATAATTCTTTTATTCACTGAGCAAAGTAAGACCCTCCCCAAGTTTGGATGGCAGTTCACTGGCTTTATACATACAATGCAGTAACATTTGGACAGTTTCTGAATTTCAGGATATATCCTGGGCATCAGCAGACAGAACCCTAAGAATTTTGTTGGAAATCAGAAAAATGAAAAAGCCAAGTACATTGGTCTCCCTGTTGAGAGCTGCTGAAAAGTTTGCAGGGGAAGAATCCCAGTTAGCAGTGGAGAGTGCAGAGAAAACCTCACTCCTTCGTCCCTTCCCAGCGGCAGTCTTCCTGAACCTTATACGTTCTGGTGAAGATGGGTACCAGGACATAGTGCTCCAAATGGCTTCCTGAGGCTAGAAGTTGCTGTGTCTCTGCATGGTTTAACGTGCTGCTTTTTAACAGCGTTCCATCAAATTTATCCTTTGTCTCTTTTTTTTCTACTCATGCCCCCTCCCCCCCCCCCCCTTTTTTTTTTTTTTT